GAATTACAAAGTTGTATCTGCTCAGTACCTTGTTTTGAGAAATTTGACGGCAAAAAGTTTGAGTTTCACAACATGTCAAGCTTTTTCGAAAGCAATTCTTCGAATATCTTGATGACGACTCCGAATAATCTTACGATTTTGATAGAGCTGATAGATTATTTGGTTTTTGGTCTCATGGTTCTAATGTACCTCAAAACGGCCCAAAAATGTCAGATACTTTGTATTCTAAGGTAGCGGCATGTCTTCAGCATTCTTTGTAGTACAAGACTGGTGGGTTCTTTTTGTTGGGGGGGCGGGGTTGTTTTTTTTTTTTTTTGCTAGCTAAGTCAATTATATTGCGTGAGCTAAGGACTGATGTATTCTCAGAGAGTTTTACACTGTTACAGTAAAGTCGCTGTTGTTATCAAGAAATTTTTAGTTGCTCGTAACCCACTGTGGAACTACCCATGGGATTCTCCTGTCAAACTTCTCGTGGGATAACAGTGCGGCGAGGTGAAGGGAGGGGGAGGACAAAGGTAGATGTGTTTACTTTTGTCGAGGACGGGGGCAGCATCACTGGATCTCTAAGTCGTCAGTAGTATCTAGTGTATAGAACTTGGCTGGCGTCCTGTTTATTACAGCATTGTGCCATTGTTACTTGCCACCATTCATAGTGCTGGCGTCTGTAGTCTAATGCCTTTGGGTTTGTTTTGGGGGGTTTTGGCTGATAGCAATCTTTTGTAGACGGAAATTTAAATCGAACGCTAGCGTGAAATAAAGTAGCAGAATTCACAGTAAATTATAATGCTACTTTATGTAAGCCCTCACCGTTGGCACATTCAACGAAACTTTCAATGAAAGATGCCCAGATCAAACTTACTGCTTTTTCGGTAGAGCAAAACTTTAGAGAAGTCTGCGCGCAGTCATGGCGTCGCTTGTTCCGGGGGTCTGGTCTGGGCTCAACTCGGAACCACGTTGAATCCTTGGAAAAGAATTTTCATGAAAAAAATACATATAATTTTCCTCACTTGAATGGGTACAAGACCATAGACAGAGAAAGATCGTGTCTTTATGTTAGTATTTTAGCGCCTGTAAAATGACAGTTTGCACTGTATACTTCCCAGGAAGTTGGAATCGTTTCAGAATGCTTTCAAGCCTGTTGGATTATAAAGTGCATAGGCAGGGTTTGCTGTTGGGAATTTGCGCTATGCAAATGTTCTTTATTTTATTCATTTATTTATTTATTTGTATATATATATATATATATATATATATATATGTATATATATATTCCGCCACAACAGGCAGGTAATAAAGTAAGGTTCGTAGTACAGTCAATCCTTACTATACGTATACCGCCAACTATGGGACGAGCATGGAGTTGGCGGTATAGCAGGGCTGGTGGTATAGCGGGGTTCTAATGTGGCCCTCTGTTAAACAGCGACGATTGCCCAGTAGCAAGGGATGTGATTCTACTGTCTGATTTGGGTTGCGTCCTGTGTTGATGATAGATGCGGCTACTTAGGCCTAAGCGTGCGAGAAAATTTGGCTTATAACTAGGGCAAGAAGATTATCAAAGTCGTCGCGCCCTTTGTCTTGTCACCAAAATAACATGCCTCCCATCAGTCAGGTGTTGCTTGCAACTGAATTACTTCGCTTCTGGTAGAGTCCTTATTCTCTTCTATCTTGAGAGACGGGGCTTGATTGTGGGTAGTTGGCAGATGCTCTGGTGAGGTTTGCTCCGTCTTTCTTATCAAATATCTATCACCCTTATCCCTCTATCATTTTTTTGAAATTATTATTTGCACGTTACTCTCTAGAAACATCTCTTATCTTCATTCAGCACTTAAAATATATGTGGGTGGTTGGTGGGTGCTCTGGTGTGGTTTGCTCCTTGTTTCCTATCAAACATCTATCGTCCTTATTACTCCTCCTTTTTTGTGTGTTTCTTACTCTCTTATAACACATCTATTCTTCGGCACTTATATGACCTTATAGTGTTGCAAGTGCTGTAAAACTATTACTAAAACTAAGTAAACTTAAAATATTAATTTGTGTTGTAAGCGCTCTAAGGCGCAAACCTAAAAAAAAGGTCTTGACTCCCCTTTTCCATGTAAGGCGATCGCTTGCCGGCCGTCAGCTCCTCTGTCTGTTGAGATTATGTTCGTTTTGCAAAGCACAAACATAACTCTAGATCTGTCTCAAAAGTTAAGTAATGCACCCCAATCTTTCACTGAAAAGAGCTTTATACTTGGACACAAACAGAGAGAGAAAAAAAAGCGTCCATTATGTCAGACCCAGACATCTTTAAGGCACGCATCAACAGTGTAAAGATTCTGTGAAGCGCATCGTGGCACATTAGCGCTTAGAATAAGCTGGGCTGCATCTGCATCACACCAAAAGCAAGACATCCTTGCATTCCTCATTCGTCAAAATGAATTCGCGTACTTGAGTAAGTGCCTAGTAGTATATGACTGACTAATGCCATTTTATTTATTTTTTTTTATTTGGGGGGGGGGGGGGGGGG